ATGTAACACGGCGCATACTGACGAATACATGTGTAGGAGACGGACGAACATAGTCTCAATATTCACTCGAGGGCGATGATAATGGTTCAGGCGGTGACACGTAAACTTTGTGACATGGGTGAGCAGAATCGTACATCACCAGTGGTGCCGTAGGAGATGGGTACACGTAATTCGGTTCGGGCGTTGATTAGACGTGCGGGAATGGGGGATGAGGCTAATCTCAGACGGTCAGCTACATTTTTTACTATGGCGTAGGAGGTTGAGAGTATGCTTTGACCAGTCGGGCAATAAGTTCAATCAGCACCTGATAAAAGACCTCCTAAAACAGTTACGGTCATTTTAAACGACGTTGGTGGAGGAGGATCCAGTACATTAAAATCCAGGAGGAAGTTTCCGGTCCTCAGGTGACATCTTAAACGTAGGTGGTGGTGGAGAGAAGATGTTGTAACATCCAAACTTACTGCAATCAACAGGATGAGCAAGCAGAGATAAGCACTGTTTAGCCGATCTTTGACGAGCCAAACCGGTTAGACAGTTCATGGTACCGTTCACCACAGCATCGGCCAACGAACTAGCTGCGCACACAGGAGGACGACCGGAGAAGAAGTTGGAAGAGTAAGTGAAGTTCTCAAGATTAGAAAGCTGGCAGATACTTGGAGGAATAACTCCTGTGAAGCCATTGTTAGCCACGTGAAGCTCTTCTAAGCTCTTCATGTTTCCGATGCTAGATGGTAATGGACCTTGTAGACGGTTTGAACTGATGTCGAAAACCGTCACTTTCTTGAGGTTTCCGATCTGAGGAGGTAAACAACCGGTTAAGTTGTCGTTGGAGAGGATTAGCTCGTTGAGTGTCTTCCCCATTTGACCGATACTTCCCGGTATGCATCCTCCCAGATTATTGTCCGCAAGAACCAGAGCGGAAACAGGGGAATTCCCCATGTTCTTGGGAATCCCGAACCGGAACCGGTTATGGTTCAAGAATATAGCATCGAGCTCTCTATCGAAGAGCTTTGATGGGATCTTGCCTTCAAACTCGTTGTAGCGGAGATCCAAGAATTTGAGGGAAGGCAACGAGAGGACAACCTTAGGGAACTTACCGACGAATCGGTTGTTACTAAGATCAAGCTCGTAAAGAAGCTTCATGCGGTTAAACGTGAGAGGGACTTCACCGCAGAAACGGTTTGAGTTAATGTGGAATAGAGCGAGATCGGAGAGGAGACCAAGCTCGGAAGCCAAGTAACCAGCCATGTCAGCGTGGTTGAGGTCAATGCCAGCAACGACTCGGGTTTTCGGGTATGAAGGTGAAGGAGCACAATAGATTCCATTGTAGGAGCAAACATCTGAGCCGTTCCAATTAGCTGTAAAGTTGAAAGGATCAGAGAAGATTGCTTGTTTCCATGATTGGAGAGCAATGTAGGCTTGACGTAGCTTCGGGTTCTCGAACTTGAGACGTTTGTCTACTTTGATATGACTGTCTAAGTCGCTTTCATCGCCGTGATCTGCTTTGATCTGTAAGAAACAAAAGGAGGAGAGCAAGAGGGTGAGGAAAAAGAGGGAACGGAGAGGAGGGAACAACATTGTTTATGGGTCAAGAAACCCAATTTTACTAGTTATGAACATCTAATATCTCTATGTGCTCCATCTTTATAAAACAGTTTAGAAACTCCAAAGTCGTATCTCTTTCTCTCTCTCCAATTTGTCTTTCTTTTCTTTTTTTTTTTGTTCTGAATTTGTCAATTAGTGACATGTTTACACGTTGAGGAAAACGTAGAGAAGACAGAAAGAGCTGACCTTTGCGCGGAGATAAAACCATCGTTACCAAATTCCTCAAACTTGGACGCACGTTCCTAGAGGTTCTCTGATGTTAAAAAACAAAATAGTCAGCCGTCAACGTTAAATCATATAAAGTATAGAGTTAAATATGCTGATAACTCAAAATGACATTAGAGCACGATCTATGAAATTAGAAACGGTCAAAGAAAGAGAAACCTGCACGCACGACCAAATGGGAACAAAACTTGGACGCATGTCTGTCACAAAAACGTGTATATATCATCATTCCTTAGATATTTCAATCCTTAGATGTTCATCAGTTGTCAAGTCTTCCAAAAGGTGAGCAATAACATAAAAGAGCAAGATCGATATCTTTTTTGGTTTTTAGAATAATCTGAAATAGCGTGATCCTAATTTCTCTGGTTTTCTTTCTTTACAGTGTCTTGGAAGCGACGTAGATATTTAATATATGAACAAGAAATCTTACAGAGACACTCTTAAATAAGTGACTCAATGGTACAAGATGTTGGTAAGAGTTCTTGTATGAACAAGAAATCTTACAAAACATAAAGTATGGAAGATAAAATCACATAATAAGTCGTGTATTTGTCTGATCAAACAAAGTTTAAAGAAAATTAAAAGTTATGCGTATATTCAACATAAAATGAGCTAGATACCTCATTTTTAAGCAATGCGCCGGGTAGTTAAATAAACAAAGCTCAAGTTCAAGTGATTTTCCTTGTCTGGAGATTGATCCAAGGCAATGCATATATAGTCCCCTATAACAGAGCAAGCAATGTCCAATATTGATTAATGAACGCAAGGAAAAACAAAACTTCAATTGTAAAGCATGTTGAAACAAGAGAGTGATAGGCCATCCAAGATTTTCCCGATGAGAAAACCTCTAGCTAGCATTGATAGTATGAAAAACCCGGTCCACAAACATATGCATACCATCATCAGTGTGTCATTACCACAGTCCTGTTCTTTTTTGGTCAATTGGCTAAGAAACGATCCGTGGTGGAATTGGTGAAGCATTGCTATTATCGTTGTCGTTGGCGGCTGTGGAATTGGTGCTTGGAGTTGTGTCAGCAATCTTAAGAGAGGAGAACACTAGAGGGGCGGACCCACGTTATGAATGGTAGAGGCATTTGCACCCAGTAATATATATAGTAGATGTTTTTTAAGTAATACTGAATAAACTAGAATGGCAAAATGGTATGGAATACACCCACTAAATGTCTATAGTACTAATAGGTTTGAATCCTCTCAGAGTCTCAGTAACATTTTGCACCCATTAATATTTATGTTGGGTCTGCCCATGACTTGTATACTTGTCAACCAAACCCCGAACATTGTGTGTGTCGCTAGCACGACTTAGTTCCATCCTGATGTCCTTAGACGAGGCTGGTTTGAACTAGACGAAGAATCAATTCATCCATGTGGTTGCCTTCCTCCATATATATTTACATAAGTCCAAGTTTCTCATCAAAATTACGACACGGAAATAAGCAAAACAAATGAGAAAAGTTTGAAATGTTAAATTTGAATTTGATACATTAACATCAAGAATTATGAGTTTTAATTACCAACTACTCAAAAAAGCAACAACACAAAAAGATAAGGGAAAATTGGAAATAAAGGATAAATATATGAATTCTATGAACAAATATCAACTATTCCTAAACTACCCTTTGCATAAGATTGAACCAATTATTTCAAAAAGAATTAAGAAAAATATGTATTAAAATGATAAAGAAGACATGAAGATATATAAAATGTCAAAAATATATTGTTTTGTTTTCGTTTTAGATAGATAAAATTTGATCTATAAAGTTTAGAATATGTCTTCTGAAATTAGAATGTATATTCTATACACTCTACATGTTCTACAAAATTTAGATTATGTATTCTACACACTCTACATGTTCTACAAAATTTAGAAGTCATTTCTTTTCTACGGTATTTAGAATACTAGTTTCTACGACTTTTAGAATACATATTCTATACTTTGTTCTTTGTTCTACAAAAATTAGAATATGTTTTCTAATATTTACTCATGTTCTAAGAATGTTAGAAAACATATTCTTAAGATTTTTTTTTATTCTATAAAAATTAGAAAGTACATTCTATCTAATTTAGATTTTCTTTAAAAAATCTTAAAATATGGAAATTGAATATAGTGAATTTGATTACATCTGCAAATTACAGAAGTTGAATTCTGAATACTTTAATATTCTTTATACCTAAGTGAATAAATTATAACACAAAATAGAATTTTTCTTTATACTTAACACTTTTTCCTATAGATTACGCTTAATTTCTTGTTTCAAAACCCGGAAAATTATAGTTGCGCTCCATAAAGAAATTGAAATCAAGGGAGTGAGATAGAGAGAGAGATTGAAGAAGAAGAAAAAAAAATTATTTAGTATGACGTTATTCGAGAGGAGAGAATAATTACGAAATCTTAACTTTGATGAGCAAGAGAATCAAAGAAGAAGAAGATATGTAATAGAATAGGAATACAAATATACGTTTGTGTATATTAGGAAAGCTTAGTTAATAGCCTTAACGGCTCTCTTGTACAATCTCTGTTATATATTCACATCAATACTATAGCTCCGATCATCGATTGGATTAACCTAATCAAACATGGTATCAGAGCTAGTACTCTAACCAGCCGCCTCCCACATCCGGCTATGCTGTGTTCCTTGGAGACAACCTCATTTCTTGGTCATCCAAACGACAACAAACCGTCTCCCGCTCCAGCGCAGAAGCCGAGTACCGCGGTGTCGCCAATGCCGTTGCGGAGACTATATGGATACGCAACCTCCTTCTCGAACTTCATTGCCCTCTTTCAACAGCCACGCTTGTCTATTGTGATAATGTGAGTGCAGTTTACCTTTCGACAAACCCAATACAACACCAGCGGACTAAACATGTTGAGTTGGATATCCTATTTGTCCGTGAAAGAGTGGCACTTGGTCAGGTTCGTGTCTTACATGTTCCTTCCGCCCATCAATATGCCGATATCTTCACCAAAGGCCTCCCTACTTCTCTATTCAACGCATTCAAGTCCAATCTTCACGTTCATAGTTACCACGGTTCGACTGCGGGAGGGTAATAGAATAGGAATACAAATATACGTTTGTGTATATTAGGAAAGCTTAGTTAATAGCCTTAACGGCTCTCTTGTACAATCTCTGTTATATATTCACATCAATACTATAGCTCCGATCATCGATTGGATTAACCTAATCAAACAATATAAAATTATCTACGGCAAAATAAATAATGAAATGTAATTAAAAGTTGATTTTGTCCTATATTTTTTCCAAATTGTTTTTAGAAAGAAATCAATGTAATTTTGAATTTTTTTTAATAGTTTAGTAAAATTTTAAAAGATTGGGGGCATATTGGGATTTTAATTGTATGAAATCATATATGACCAATATTAAAGTATATATGACCAATCATGAATATAGAATGCATAGATGGACAATAGTTTAATTATTTGTCCTTTATTTCTAATTTTCCCTAATATCATTTAAAGCTAAAATATCGTCTAAACTTACCATACATTTTGGCTATCATAAAATAAAAAAAAACATCTACGCTCTGATTCACGAACGTGGATCTCTCATCTACAAATAAGCTATTTAAGCGAAAAAAGTTTAAAATGGCAGAAGATGGTCAATCTAACCTTACCACCCAGCAGTATTTATCTGCTGAGAACAAAAGAATGATTGAGGAAGTGTTAGCCCAGGTCGCACAATATATAAGAATACCAAGCCGAACCATTTTATTGAATGCAACAATAACAAATTACAAACGACAATTAATTACTAGTTGGGAAGACTGAAAATTCATTAAGTCTGTTTTAATTTAATTTTTTGTTCAAGTATTTTGCCTACTCTCAAGATTGACCCAAGGCGATGCATCCCTAACACACATATTGCTAGTAATCTCCAATATTGAATAATGAAGGCAGACAACGACAAAAAATAAAATAAAAATCTAATTTTAAAGCATGTGGAATAGAAGGGGGATGTGCCTTTAGTCAAGTGGTTAAGTCCACTTGACTCCGCTTTCTCCACCAGAGTTCGACTCCACTAAATCGCGTTACCCCGCGCAATAGGGATTGACTATGGATCGGGCTTTGTCGATCCAAAAATGTCAAAAAAAAAAAAAAAAAAGCATGTGGAATAGAAGGAGTATCTCAAATACTCTCTAGAAGATAATTTTAAGGGATGATATTCCAACAAAGAAAACTACAATATCCACATTCTTATTGTCTCTGAATAAACAAAGCTATAATAAGCCTATAACATTCAACATTTTATAAACTCAACCAAGGTTGATCAAGATAAAGATAAAATCCAAGCTTATGTTATCAGCAAATTGGGAAACATGAATGAACACAACTTTAGATACAGACAAGCGATCATGTCATCATTGTCCTAGTGGGTAAAATATAATCAAATGGATCACTGTATTCATCAATTTCAGACACTTAAGAATCCATGATCAAGAACCACCCAGTAATTGCCAGTTAAACAGATCAACACAAGGTTTTAGAGTTCTACAAAGGATTTAATTAGTTTATTCAATAAGGAATTAGTTGTATTGTGGCAGTAAATTCAGAACTAATCACCAATTACATATATGATTATTGATCACAGTGTTCAAGAGGAAGCTATTGGAGTTAGAGAGTTAGAGAGTTAAGAGGATCGGAGCAGTCCAATATAGACCCATAAAAACGTTGTGAAACTGTTTTTGATTACTTTTTTTTTTTTTGTCAAACATGTTTTTGATTACTATTTAACATATATTTTGAGATTTTTATATGAATCAGTCAGAAGCAAAAAACTAGTGTCGTCACGTGTAATTGATAAGTTTCTATCCGGATGAAGCCATTAGCGGTGACAAGTTTTAATATTATTCAACTACTAATTGCATGAACAATCGAAACCTTTAGATTCATTGAATTTAGACAACTTTCCAGATTCATTGAATTTGGACGTGATTTGGGTTTACTATACTTCTGGTTTCCGCGCCAGATATTAGAAGATATCAGAAAATCTACCGAAGTGAAAAAAAAAAAAAAAACACAAGACGAAAGATCTAACCACAGCTTGCCACGTGGTAACCACAATTTAACTTGTTGCTGGTACGTGTGTCCACGCGCTACTATGTAACCGTGACCGTGACCGTGACCGTGAGCTAGCTCTTTTACTCCTTCCTACTAGTATGGATACTTTGTCACGGACGTTGGTTAATAAATCTTGGCGTCCGTTAATCAAATTTTTCTAAGTAAATAAAATAGACAAAGGTGTTTATGTAGATCTGAAAATGTAAATTAATTGAGTGAAAAAAAGAGAAGAAATCTTTATTTTTTTTTCTGAAAGTAGAGTTTAATAATTATCACTTATAGAACCATGCATCTCTTTTTCCCAAACTAGAAAAATTGACTTTACTATTATTGACTAACATTAAATGTTTAATTTTTTTTTTATCTTTCTGAGATTATCCTTTTAAAAGTGAATGTATCTGGACAATATGGTGGTAATAATTGAGAATCTAAAAATTTATCAGCCAGCACATCCCAAAACTGTAATTATTTTAACGGGATTTAGGGTTTCTCCGTTACACAAAACGCCGTTAATCACTTTTTTCACCATCCTGTTGTCATATTTTACCATTTGTCATTTACTCCGTCAAAAAGTCAAAGTCTCTGTCCACACAATTAAAACATATCACTAAATATAATTAATGTTGGTGTGTGTATATATATATCCCACAAGTCGCAGAGAAGATGAGAAATCAAGAAAAAGGCATAAAATGGTAGAGATAGGGGGACGATTTATCCGAACAGCGGCGGCTTTTGATGTGGCGGCGGCGCGTGCACGTCCTCCATGCGCTAGCAGCAGCGGAAGCGATCACTCTCCGGATGACACAGAAGATCTTTGGGATCTGGTCGAATCTTTTATCGACAGAGAAGTGGAAACTTTACCTGAGGAGGCTTTTGAGGAAGAAGAAGATAAATCGGATGAGGATTACGAAGATGTGAAGGAGAGGTTACGGGAGATTCTTGAAAATCACGGAGGCGAAGAGCGGCGGAGAATCATGGATGAGGCGGTTAATGCTAGTCGGTTCGTGGTCGGAGAGAAACGTCACTTTATGACTTATCTACGTAACAAAGGTTTTGATGCAGGTAATAACAATTATCTCTATTACTCTTTGTTTGTATGAAATTACAATTTTATGTAGTTGATTTTCAGGGATTGGTTAAGTTTGTTCGGTACAATCTTAAAATGTTTAGCTCAAATCCGTTGATATATAGTTTTGTAGGGCTGACTCTTCTAAACCTAGCTAAGCTCTTGGAGTTTTTGGTCATTTGATTTTATTATTTTATTTTTGTTAAAGGTTGAACTAGTGAAAACAAAATTAAGCTTTGCATAGGAATGGTTTTAGAGGCGTGATTACAAAACATGATTCAGAAATAAAATTGATATTGAGATTGTGTACTGCCTTTGTCAATATAGATCGACTAGTACATTTGAGTTTTGAGGTTGATTATTTAGTCATTTGATTCTTATAAAGAAATCCTGGCTAGTGCAAGTATTTTCTCCCCCATACACATCAAAGCATATATACAATGACATGTAGAACAAATCACATTAGGATTTAGATATGAATTTGTTGTATCTGAAATCAAGTGAGATGCTGATGAAATATGTTTATGCATATATATCAAACATATCATTATAAGATTGTTTTAAGAACAATAATCGCATGTCAATTTTTATCTCATTTGATGTTGTAATATTCACATTTTTTATGGATGTGTATAGTACCATAATGGATACATGTTTTGGATTTAAATGTGCAAATATACTGAAATGAAAAGATTGATCTACGTGTATAGGTCTCTGCAAGTCCCGGTGGGAGAAATTTGGTAAGAACACGGCCGGGAAGTACGAGTACGTGGACGTCAAGGTAGGAGATAAGAACCGTTACATCGTCGAGACAAATCTTGCCGGAGAGTTCGAGATTGCTCGGCCAACTACAAGATACCTATCCCTCTTAGCTCAACTGCCACGTGTCTTTGTGGGAACACCTGAGGAGCTGAAACAACTTGTGAGGATCATGTGCTTTGAGATCAGGCGGTCGATGAAGCGAGCGGAGATTTTCGTGCCGCCGTGGAGAAGGAATGGTTATATGCAAGCCAAGTGGTTCGGTCACTATAAACGAACCTCTAATGAAGTGGTGAGTAGGGTTAAGAGCTGTGGCTGTGGACCGCGTGTAGGGTTTGAAGAATCGGTTAAAACGACGGCGTTTATTGGTTTTAAAGAGGGGGAGATGAAGAGGAGTGGTTTAAAGGTTGGCCGGCTAACGGTAGCTTTCACCGGCAGTGAAGTGGGGTTGCAAATATTTTAGAATAAAGTACAGGGCTCTAGGTGTTGATGTTTCAGAGTTCTTTAGAGCATACTTATAGGTGATACTGATATAGTATCATTAGGAATTTTTTAGTATTATTTATAATATTTGTTTATTGATTGAGATTTTTTTTGATACTCCTACTAAATATGTTTGCATTGGTGAGACCGCTTTAAGTATCATTAAAAAAAAATTCAAAATCAAAAATTAATATATTAAAACATAGGATTACAAAAGGTAATATTACAATTAAAAAAACGTAGAATATACTTAAGCAAAATAAAACATAAAATTCAAAAAAACTTTAAAAAACATGATGATAAAAATAATTTAGTCGCTTGTAGTCAATTACTTTGGCCCGATTTTTGCCAAATATGTTCAATCAAATCTTCTTTCAATTGTCGATGTGTTTATTCATGACATATTTGAGCGCGATTGGCCATAAAAAATAATTTTTTAGCTAGTAATAATTTTTAGTTTTTTTTTTGGGTAATGAATTAATTTTTAATAATTATACAAGTGTAGTAAATACACCAAAATATGAACCTGAATTAATTAATCTGTTAAACACGATGTGTTTTATTAGAACTAATGAAATGTCAAGATTAGTTTTTATTTTTAAATGTGAAGTCTTGGACATTCTTTGACAAGTTCTTTTCTCCAACACTTCCATCAAGATTTTCCCCAAATCGTGTTCAAGTTTTATGACTCTCTGAATTTACAGACAAGAAATAGTGGTTTGTTAACCTTTGGCAGATTCGATGGCCAAATGTTAGAAGACTATATTTGCTCAAGAAGTAACACAATACAACAAAGTTTCCAAAACAAGTCTAAGACAAAACCTCATCCAAAAGATTGAGAGAATCCAGAAGAGGGCAAGAAGAGAATCTTGGCTGTGTGCATATATGGCAGATTATTTGAAACTAGAATTCAAATAATCCATATAATAGTAGTAATTTGCAAAAGGAATCGAAGCACAATACTTGCTCGAAAAAAGGAATTCTTATTGAACTCCAATATATGGTATATGGTTTATCATGCACAGCAATATATGTTATACATTATGCTGCAATGTTCGTAAATACCAGAAAAAAAGATGATTCAAGCCGTTACTACTTGCTACACTGATCAAAAAGTTAATTGCTATATACGGAAAGAATTAATCCCGTAAAAATCACGTGCTTTAAAGATGTTCGTAAAGCTTTTCTCTAGACCCATTTTCATAGGTCCTCCTTGAATGATCCTGTCAAAAAGAGATTGTATCATTTCAGTGAACTGTATGCACAAAAGAATGAAATGAGACCTCGAAAGAGCTCATCAACAAAGCACAAAAAAGTTTCAGACTTTGAGCTTTAAACCACAGAAAACTTCAGAACAAAGATGTCCAAAGGGTCTTCTTTTGCTACTTGATCATTCAAACTTTAGAACATCACTCCAACTAGAAATCAATCAAAGTAACAGAAAGTTCTGACATTGAAACAAAAGTCCAGAATCATTGATACCACTGAGATAAAGACAAAACATTTTATCATTGATACCACTGAGATAAAGAGAAAACATTTTATCATTGATACCACTGAGATAAAGAGAAAGGATTACAAATCTTGTTAGACAAGAATCTAAATCAACAAGTAAAATTTGTGTAGAGTAAAGATAAGATTCAAGTGTTGACTGTTGAGTACCTAAAGTCATCAACAAGTTGCCGTAGATATACAAATCCTAAACACTACACACACACACTTCACCTTAAAACATAGTGAGGAAAACCATCAAACATCTTAAGGACACGATTCTATGAAGTTTGAGATTTAAAGAAGATGAATACTTGCCGGAAACATACAAAAGCAGAACACAAGAGAGTAAGCTCAAATACCCAAATTCTCAAAATCAATAAGTAAGCTCAAATACCAAAATTTCCTAATGTAAGGCACTATACTTCTGCAAGTTCAAATACCCAATTCTCAAAATCAATAAGTAAGCTCTAATGCCTAAAGTAAAAACCTTAGTTAGAGAAATCACTATGAAACAACTCACGGAGAAGATGGGTTTAAACCTGACATGAGGGAAACACGAAAAAGGACTACTTGAAATCGAAGAAACCCATATTACAGAACACTCTCAATACAAAAATCCATTGATTGGCAAAAACGTAAGCATGAATCAGAGAAATAGATAGAAATTAGGAGGGATTGAATCTAAATTGCAAACGAAATCAAATTTACCTTAGCTCGTCAGGGAACAAGCTCGTAATCGCCGGCGTGAGAGAGCTCGAAATCGTCGGCGTGAGGAGAAGCGGAGGGACCGAAGGCAGGATCGAAGAGATGCAATGGATCGAAGAGATGCAATGAATTTTTTTTTTTTTCTGTAGCCAAAACGCGTTGCAACGCCAATCATCACATGCCACGTCATTTGATACTGGTATCAGAAATATCAGTCCAATGATACGGCTCAGGCCCAAAAAGGTTGTTTGGTCCATTAAATAATATTTTCTGGGCTTCTGATACTCAGAAAATATCACCACTGGGCATGGTCTTATACTATTGTAAATGTATAAGCTTTGGGGGTTTAGAGAAGCAATTATCTATAAAGTTTTTGTTTGGCTACCAAAACTGAAGTTGTAGTGGTCTATATTATTTTGTTTAGGCATTTTAAATGGGGCCTTTTTCACTTTCGGCCCGTTATATCATTGGCCCGGCTCTATCGGAGTATCCGATTGCTTGTCTTTCTTACAAGTCTACTTCTGATTTGTTGAAGGAAAAACTAAAATATTAAAGGATTGATTGGTATGTAGCTTATATTTGAGATTCAGAGTTATAGCCTATAGGAGTAAACTGCAACATCTTACTCAATGTGTCTTCAATAATGTTTCCATTTATCAAACTTTTATTGGAGTGTGGTGCGTTTATTTAGTTATAAAAGTTAATTGGATGATTAAACCTTAATGATCGTTTGCAACTCTTTCCTCTAAACTTTATTTATAAAAGCAAACTGAATGATGAAAAGTACAGGGTACTCATTTAAGTGTCTTACCAATCACACCGTAAATAACACTGTTGCAAATTGCAATCATCTTGATATTTTACATTTTTACTACACTGAACTAACTCTGGTAATGGACTGCAAGCTCCACTATACATCATCATTCTAAAGTTTTGAACCTAAAAACTATATATGACTGTCGATTAAATATTGGATATAAGCAAATGATATACTATAATTCATACTTGACAAGTGTTGGACGATATAGGCTGTGACTAGTGTTGGACGATATAGGCTGTGACTGGTTAAAAAGTTAGAAGAAATGAAAAGAAAAAATAAAAGAAAAAAAATGTCACATCAAGAAGAAAAATGAATTCTATTAGTTTTGAGGAAGGAATAATTTTTCTCCTTTAGTTACTTTTTGATGTTTTCATCTGATATAATTTTCTTTTGATTTTTTTTTACTGGTGCATGTCAAGAAAATAAAAAATTCTTTCTTTTTCATTTCTTCTATTAAGGGTGACCAGTCACACCCATAGTATAACTAGAATAAACACTTTTTCTGTCAAAAACTTAAGCATTTTTAAGTTTGGCCAATAAAGATAAGTTAATTTTATATACAAGTCAGCCGTCTTAGCTTATTAATTGGTCTAAACAAAAAAAAAATTACTAACTTGTTACTGACTACTTTTTTAACCGTTTTCATGAAAATCAAAATGGTCGAATGATTTTGCCTAAACCTAGCTTTGCCATTAAACAAACGTTTAGGCGGTGGATTTTTAGACGAGGGACAATAACTAAAAAACAATACCGAAACAAACAAAACCTAATAAACCTTTCGGTATTTAAAGTCTCGATAACATCTTCTTCCACAAGTCTCTCTCTCTCTCTTCCATAGAAAACCTATGAAGAAGCTCTACAGAAAAGGAACCGTGCACCCATCGCCGCCGCAGATAAAATCCGACGACCACCTTCTCCCTCTCCTTCCCGTCGCCATCTTCTCTCTCGCGGCGGTTCTCTCGCCGGAAGACCGTGAAGTTTTGGCCTATCTCATATCAACCGCTTCTTACTCCGGCGACCGAAACCCTACCTCTCGTCTGAATAAGACCAAAGCCCACAAGAAAACCCATTTCGATAATCACTCGCCTCTCTTCCACTGTGACTGCTTCAGCTGCTACACGAGTTACTGGGTCAGATGGGACTCGTCACCGAGTCGTCAGCTTATTCATGAAATCATCGACGCTTTCGAAGATAGCTTGGAGAAGAAGAAGAAGAAGAACGTTACTGGTAAGAAAGATCGAAGAAAGCGTTCAGGAAAGTCTTCTTCAATTCTTGCTAGTTCTAGCTTTAGTACGGATGAATCCGAGATTCCGAGTCGACTCGGTGAGTCAGTTGTGAATTCGTGTCCATGTTCAAGTTCGAGCGAGTTGGCTCAAGATGGTGGTGGTTGCAACGGCGGTTTGGAACCAACGGATGATTTTTGTGCCCGAGACGCTTGTGAGGAGGCGGAGGATGAGAAGGGAACCGTGAGGAGATTTTTGAGTTTCATTGGTGAGAAAGTTTTAGGTGTTTGGGGATAAGAAAGTTTTGCCTATAAAATTACAAGAAATAAAATGTTAGAAATGTTTTTTTTTTGTTGTTGTTAATTCACTTGGATGATCTTTTTCTAGGCTAAAATGTTAGATTATCCCCAAAGTTTTCATGTGAAAACATTAATTGTGTTTATAATGCGACAAAAATGTCATTATATTAAACACTTGATTATATAGAAATGGTCAGTATAATTGCGCGTATTAAATACGCTTGAATGTATGCACACATTAACTACAAAAGTGTGACCACAACAAAGTAAAAGAAAAAAAAAAAAATCAAACTTACATCACGTATTATTTTCTTTCTGTCAAGATTAAAATAGATTGTATTATTATTGAGAACAATGCAAAGCAGAATTGTTACTTCCTAGATACTATATAGCTATAGACAATTAGACATATGAAATTGATTATTCATCGTCTTTTAGGATGCCTTGGTAGAGACTAGAGGCTTTTAATTAAAATATGTATGTGTACTATATAATATTTTTTCTGGTCCAAAGATAACTTTTATGCTGCCCACCACCACAGCCATTTTTATGCTTCAATGAATTGTTGTTGTACATTATTTGTCTGTACATTTTTGCCCTTTGCGGATCACTCAATCTGATCCCTTTCATCAAAGCGTAAAGGCTATGATTTTAAATGGAAATTAAAAATTTTTTTTTTTAAAAAAAAAAAAAAAAAAAAAAGCGTAAAGGCTAACTCTAAACTTCCATTCCTCAGAGTACATATGATCGCAATAAAGGAATTAATCATTTTATAACCTTTTTGTTGACATGTCAATCGATTTGTGTTAGACTTCTCACTTCTCCGTTCTTATCAGATCGTATGTACTTCTTTTTAGTATAGGCCAATTAATATCCATATATAATTCGGACACTATATATATGTTTTGTAAAGTTCTTATATTGAATAAAAAAAATGGACCATACAAGAAATATTTGTCTTCGAATTTTATGAATAAAATTCTCAATCATACATCCATTTTCTTCAAATATACAAGGTTTTTTAGGGAGTGTTTTTTTTTGGTACATAGAAAAATAGTTAAACCTACAAGAAAAATTGAGTTTTTTGACAAAAATAGTATAGAAAAATATATTTCTGACCGCACAAAAGCTAAACTTGCAATTTAGAGTTGATTGCGCGGTCAAAAATATACTCTTTTGAAGTATTTACGAATTTCTTTAAGTATTTGACTCATATATATTACTGTCTTTTGTAAAGACTAAAAGGCAGGTGGGGTTTTGACAAATGAGCTCTTCTCAAGCTATATATTTTTCAGATGGTTAGTATTAAAAACCCAAGTTTTATTCTAAATTTCAGTTAAACATCTATTTGTTTAGGTAATCATGGTTCTGATTTGGTAATCCTTTATCTGGCGTTTTTTGTTTTTTTTTTGGGATTTTTTGGGATTTCTTCTACGTACAATCTATTTTTTTCCTCGTTTTGTTTTGTTGAATCCAATTCTAAAATAATTAAAATAAAAAAGTGAAAATTTTGAATACCAGACTTTAAAACGTGCAATGACGGTTGTGCTGGATCGGTAAGATATTATCATCTGCATCATTTACAAAGGTTATAAGATACATATTTTATAGACCTGTAAATGAAAAATCCAAATGCAAAGGCTTTAAACAACCAAAAGTATTCAAAAGTGATCAGATCATCATTCTTGTCTCTTGGGTAATGAATGGTATGTAACCACGATAAAATAAATACTTACTACTAATTCAACTTTTTAGACAAAACGAGGGAACTAAATCCTAGAAATGCGGATTTTCCAGCATTGGGTTTGACAAAAGAAAACAGAAAGAGGGGACATAATGGCTCTGGTCTCGGTGTAACACTTTACTCACATTTCTCAAAGACAAGTATTTTTGTTTGAACTAAATAAGAGTATAGTGTTTGGTAATTGAATGTAATAGTTTCAAACCAACGTTTTCTACTCGACTTGAGTAACAGTGACCAAATGCAGACATATACGTTACAAATTCCGAAATTCGTGTGACAATTACAGATAATTTAGATATACATTATTCAAGAATTATTGATGTCTTTTTAACCTATCAATAAAATATATAAAATGTCAAGAGGAAAAGTGTCGTCAGTCATACTGTTATGTTTTCACTTTTTATATAATGTCAGAGAAAAAGATGTCACCAGTCATCGTCAGTGATCACGACAGGAGCTTTCAACTTTTCAAGCGTGTTTGAGAGTTTTTATTGATTCAGTAGACTTGGTACTAAAAAACTCAACGCAACGTTTTTGACTCGTTACTTATGTGTATGTGTTGCGCTGGCATCTTCTTCTTACTATTTGAAAAGTGAAAACCTAATAACCTGTTGAAGCAAGTACTACATTGACATTGAATCATTAGTCTAGGACTTAGAGCATATAAGATTCTCTTTCACTACTCGTAGTCTTAGTTCGACTTTTTTAAATTTCGTCAACCAAACTAACCACAAAGCTATCGCAAATGCAACAAGGTGTTTTTTGGTTAACTATAAGTGCATGTGTATGACTCGATGGGCCGTTGTGAATAAACAGAAGATTTTGAAAAGGGCCTTACATAACTCAACACACCCAAATAAATTATGTCTATTATGACAAACACCCGAGGCCCATAAAGATTTACATTTTGACAGGGCTTCAGAACGAAATATACTGTAATTCTTTTTCTTAGACTCTGCAACAAATTCTGAATATTTTTCAAGGGAAAATGAATATGCATATGGGGCCATTATTCACTGCATAATTCTCCTTTGCCAATGTTTTAATTATACAAGTTATGGTTGAGCTACGTTGTCCAAATTGTCTAAATTATCTTTATTTCAAATTTCCAAATTATCTTTATTCGCAAGTTCAATCAAGAAATCGGCCAATTAGCTCCAGTAACTAATTAGTGATTGAAATCGCCATTTTAGGGTAAAATTTTGTTTTTTCTCATCATAAGAGCATGGTCATAGGTGATACTAACAAAATATCATTAACAATTTTTTAGTATTATTTATAATGTTTGTTTATTGTTTGAGATTTTTTATGATACTCTACTAAATATGTTTCCATTGGTGAGACCGGTTTAAGTATCATAAAAAAAAATATATATATTTGCAAAATCAAAAATATATATATATAAAAACATATGATTATAAAAGGTAATATTACAATTAAAAAAAACATAGAATATCCTTAAGCAAATAAAAACATAAAATTCAAAAAAACTTAAAAATACATGATGATAAAAATAATTTAGTGTTTCTCCTTCTTTCCTTGTTTCTCTTCTAGCAAGCAAATGATCCAGTTAATTATTAACGAGTAATTAGGGAATGAAGTTAAGGGGTGATACCACTGAGAAGGCATGGGATTAGGTAAAACAAAAACATAAGAGAATTGAGCATTACTTTGAAAGACTGCAAGTCTGAAAGTTTCTGAATTGTTCCATGCTCAACAAAGCACGAATCTGAGAACACGATATTGCTGACTCCAACATTGTTGGGGCAAGCTTCTTTAAGTCCTGATAGCAACAAATTCTCCATCCTTTCTTCCTCTGACGCAGCAATATATGGGAATGCCAATGAGAAGTTGGAAGCTGTAAACAGATTCTGTTGAAACGACGACTTGGATGTTAGAGTATTGTGAAGTTTAAAGCAAAAAACTATGTCAGAGATCTGTGTTATGAATGCAATATCAGAATTCCATGATGAAGAAATGATAAAGTGCACTTACACTCAATGTGTTAACAAGGGCAGAATCCGAGTTCCTTTTAGAAGAAACATCAGAAGACAGTAACTGCAGGCGGAAAAGAACATGTATATTAGAATTCTCAACATAGCACAGAAGGTACAGAGCAAAGACGATTTCCGGCAATATTAAAAACATCAGTTTCTTCACAATATCACAACAAGAAACCAACGATCCAAATGGTGATTTATGCTTAATGTTAAAACGAAGGTACTACAACATTCACTTACCTCTCTGCCTATGAACACAAGTGCAACATCAACACGTTGCTCAAGCTTCTTCTCTGAGAACTAAACAAAAGAGACAGTAAAATAACAATAAGAAAAGCCATTTGACATCCAGTGAGTTGTAGAATTGAAAACCATAAGATCTTAAGAAGAAACCATACCAGAAAGTTTGACCAACCTCCTTGAGTGAAAACAGAACCTACTAGATCCTTTGCAGACATGACCTGATAATTTACAACCTCATCCAATAAGCACTGAACTTGTTATCAAGAGTACCCACTCGTTTCCAACAGAAACCTGCAAAATATCACATGAATCACTAAGTAATCACATCCTCAATCACATTAAAGACAACCATATATATTTAGCTACGACTTTTGCATAGACCAAGAAATTCAAATGCTTGACTTTTCCAGTTTTGGCAAGACTTCAATCACAGATATATGTGGCATTGCCTCACACTATAAATTTACTACAATAAGAACTCATGATGGTTACAGATATATATAACGCCTATTTGCTTTACAATTACCAGCTGTGATACATTTCATATCAAGTTAAACGATATTCCCAAACCAAAGAACAAAGAGACCTTAAACGTTCATGAAACAAACAAACTAAACAAATTATTCCATCAGCTATATCAGAACGAGCAACATATATATAAAGAAGCAAGCTTTCAAATCCAAATTCGTTATGTAACAGAGAAAGACAGAGACCAAAGCATCTAAGGTAAAAGGAAACCAAAGTTCATACCGTTCTTCAAATCAAAATCAAATCAGAGAAAGACAGAGACCAGAAAATCAAATGGAGAGGTGAAATGGATCGAAGAAGAATCGGCGGAGGAGAGATGGGATCGAATCTACACAGAAGAAATGGATCGAAGAAGAAATCGCGGAGGATAGTAGGGATCGAAGAAGAATCGGCAGAGTTTCCAGAAATTATTTTTTTTTATCTGTTTTGCCAAAAAAAAAAAAATCGCGGGTCCAATGGGAAACTGACATGTCACACGATACTGAGTATCACAAGTACAACAAGTATCAGTGGACTGATACGTATCAGGCCCATTTAAGTGGTTTGGTCCATTATAAAATCATTTCTGGGTTAATGATACTGAGAAAAATTCACTGGTGTACATGGTCTAAACACTTTTGTCCAACTCCAATTAATTACTATATATTGCATTTGGTCAACTAAATTTATTTCATCAAATAAAGAAATTCACAAATATTATACGCATAAGAAATTGAACACCTAAAGATATAATACAATAATTCAAAACCTCGTGTTTTTTTTAATAGAAAAGTGTTAATGCGTCGGTAATCTGAATATTGTCCACAAGGATATATAATTACCCAATCGGATCAAAGTGAAGAAATAATAATTTGATTCGTCATCCGCATTTTTTCGATCATAATTTTGAAGAAAAATTTTTTAAAAAAAAAAAAGAAGATGTGGACGAGCAACAATCAGATCGTAAACCAAAACAAAGAACGACTGAAACGATATCTCGGCCAGATTAATTTCCCTCGCCGGTTCATCAAGGACTCAGAGACACCGTTACTCTCTCTTGCCCGATTTTAAGAACCCCGAGGTTTTTCTTTTTTTCACAAAATCAAATCAAAAACATTTAAATTCAAAAACTCAGATCCAATCAAAGAGACGAAACTAATAAACATTCATAAACCCAAATAATCGAGATAAGTAGGCTCAAGTCTCCACAGAGGTATATATAGTCTGTATGACACAGAGCGATGCCCTAAAAATATTCTCGAAGGCAAAGTTATTAGTTTGGGCCTTTGGGCTGAAATATAAATCGCCCCAACTTATATAATGGCCGATGTTTATGTTCTTTTTCCAATCTCTTTTTTTTTTTTTGGGTATATTTTCCAATCTTTTAACGTTACTATAGTCTAAACTTGAATATATAGTTCATATAAATAAGAACTTATAACCCACACAATTATTGCATAAATAATCACTCCCAAGCTTAACACACCAGATTAATCACTTGGTTCTTGACTTTTTTCTAACATTAACCCCAATCCTTAAGACTTATATATTGACACTAGGTGATTGCCCGCGCGCATGCGCGGGAAGAATGCTGCATAAATGGTAAAATCATGTGAAATAAGGGATTGTTTAGGTGATACTTGGTAGTGTAAGAAAAATATGGTAAATTGTTTAGGATTTAGTGTGATAAAATTATGGAAAATGATGAAATTTAAAAAATTCAATAATATTATAAATGCTAAAAAATAATAATAAATCATCTTTTAAAATCATTCACCAACAAAATAAGAAATCAACGAACATCATCACTCCATGGCATTCTCCTTCCGTGTTATGATCGGTACTTGGTCATTTTCAGGATTCCTAACATCCGATTAAGAACACCATAAACAGTGAATGTCCAGTCGCCAACTTTAGAGTTTTGATTGTAAACGGAAAAAAAAATACTTACCAACAAAGCATCTCGTCGGTAATACTGAGATCCGGATTCAACATAATCCTCGTACTTCCGGTAACATTGGTACATCTCCACCTATGTTCCTGTGATAGCTCTAATTTCACAAACTTGATAATACATATCACTGTGTTACGTGAACGTTGCTTCCATAAGTCATAGAACTCGACTGCAAGGTCACATGTTAAACGACATTCTAGATGGATACACTTAATTTTAAGATTTGAAGAAGTCATAAGACATTATATTCTGGTTTAAATCTTTAAAAGAATAGTTACTTACTCAGTATCACGTAAACCAAAGCACAGCTCAAAATATCCTCCTTGAGAATGTTCCATGGAAGGAACAAAAACCAACTCTCTCACGTTGAGAATTTTGCCAATAACATATATGAAACACACACATGAATAATACAGTCAGAACATGAATCGCAAATAAACTCCAAAAGCACAAATAAATTCATAAATTAGGCTTACCAACGCAAATATTCGGGTTAACAATACCACTCAATATACTCACAAACTCAGTTAGATTGAAATAGGTTCTACTGGAGCACATATTAATACTTTGCACTAAAGTGTCCGAACGAAACACAATCTTGAATCTATGCGGTACTGGTCTCAAGATGCTGTTAACCCGGGATACATCAAAAAATTTAATGCTCACCCACTCATCGATTATCAATCTTGAAAAATAATTATCAATTAATTCATCACGAACAACGGCTTAAATTTGGGTGAACTGCAAATGAAATGTTAAAGAAAAAAACAATTCAATTTAATATCGAAAACATGTATAGAAGGTAAGTTATTAAAATACTAACATGCTCGTCACCCAAAATCATATTGAGCTCTCTACCCGAGCCACGCGAAACAGACCAACAATTCAAATCTTCACCAAAACAGACCACTCACCCATGTTAGGGTTAAGAGACGCAATATGAAAATAACCACCATCACATGAATCAGAGGTAAAAGGTATCATTGTAGAACCCATATCAAAAGATTACTCGGCTAAACAATCCAATGAGGTATAAACGCGCGATACGTATATGTAGACCTAACGATTATTTGGAAAGAACATAACAATGGAAAATATATATTAAAAACTAAATCAGAAAATTAACAAAAACGAATATTGATTAAACGATATAGAATTTATCCATAAGATTAATAAATTAAGTTTAGAAAAAAAAAAACTAAATCTCAACAGTTAAACTGAAATATATACTAACGAAATTTAAGGATAAAAATATATCACTCTATTATCAACACCATAGTAATAATATATACAAATGGTGTAAGTTATCGTGCATAAACGGTAAAATCATGAGAGATAAAAGAATATTATAAATGGTAAGAAAATAAGATGCCAATCATAAAAAAAAAAAACAAAAAACAAAAATTTCAAGACAATAAGAAAACAACGAACGTCATCATTTTATAGCATTCTCTTTGCATGTGACGATAGGTACTTCGTCGTTTTCAGGATTCCTGACACCCGGTTTATAACATCAGAATCAGTTAACGTTCCGTCGAAAATTTTAGAGTTTTGATTGTGGACGACAAAAAAAATAAAAAAGTAATTACCAACAAAGCATCTCAATGGTAATACTGAGATCCGGATTCAACATAATTATCAAAAACTCATCAATCAACAAATGATTTCTACATTTATCAAAAGCTCTTTCATTAGACTCCAGAAAATCGTTATTTTACTCATGTTTTTTTGTTATCTTTGTTATAGCCAAACTCATCTTCAGTAAATGATTTATACGTTTATCAAGAACTCTTTCATCAGACTTCAGAAAACCATCAACTTTGCTCCTTTTGTTTTTTTTTTCTAATTATAGTTATAGCCAAAATCATAAATCAGAAAGTGATTATTACGTTTAATAACAATTCTTTCATATGGCTCCAAGAAACCGTCAATTTTGCTCACTTTTTTGTTATCATGGTTATAGCCAAACACATAAATCAACAAATAATTTCTACATTTATCAAGAAATCTTTCATTAGGTTATAGAAAAGTATCTATTTTGTTCTTTTTTATTGTTACAATTGTTATAGCCAGAAGAAAACCGTCAATTTTTTTTTTTTGTTATCATGGCTATTGCCACAAACTCATCAATTAGCAAATGATTTCTCTGCGAATCAATAACTTTAACATCAGGCTGCAAAAAATCTTCTATTTTGATCATTTTTCGTTATAAAAGTCATACTAAAACTTTTTAATCAGCAAATTATTTTTACGTTTACCAAAAGCTCTTTCATTAGACTGCAGAAAACCGTCAATTTTTTCTTTTTTTTGTTATCATGGTAATAGCCAAACTCATCATCTGCAAAAGATTTATACGTTTATCAAAAGCTTTTTCATGAACCTGCAGAAAACTATCACTTTTGCTCATTTTTTTTTTTTATCATTGTTGTAACCAAACCCATCAATCAACAAATGATATCTAGGTTTATCAAGATGTCATTCATCGGACTACAGAAAGTTGTCGATTTGTCTCTCTTGTTTTTTATTATGGTTATAGCCAAAATCATCAATGAACAAATCATTTTTATATTTACCAAGAGCTCTTTCATTACGTTACAAAAAACGTCAATTTCGCTCCTTTTTTTTTGTTATCATGGTTATAGCCAAAGTCATCAATCAGTAAATTATTTTTACCTTTATTGAAAACTCTTTCATCAGGACGTAAAAAATCGTTATTTTTCTCCTGTTTTTTGGTTATCATTGTTATAGCCAAACTCATCAATCGGCAAATAATTTATACATTTATCAATAGCTCTTTCATCATGCCGTAGAAAACTGTCTATTTTGCTCTCTTTTATTGTTATCATTGTTATAACCAAACTCATCAATCAGCAAATAATTTATACGTTTACCAAAACCTCTTACATTAGACAGTAGAAAACCGTCAATTTTGCTCATATTTTTTTTTATGGCTATAGCAAAACCATCAACCAGCAAATTTCTAAGTTAATCAATAGCTCTTTCGTTAGGCTGCAGAAAACTTTCATGCTTTTTTTTTTAATCATGGATATAGCCAAAATCATCATCAATAAATGATTTCTACGTTTATCAAGAGTTTTTTCATGAGCTCGCATAAAACTGTCAATTTGCTCATTTTTTTTGTTATCATTTTTATAGCCAAACACATCAATCAACATATGATTTGTACGTTAATCAAGATATCATTAATCGGACTTCAGAAGGCCGGTTAATTTTATCTCTCTTGTTTGTAATCATGGTTATAGCTAAACTCATTAATGAGCAAATAATTTTTACGTTTATCAAGACCTTTTTCATTACGTTACAAAAAACCGTCACTTTGTTCCTTTTTTTTTTATTATCATGGTTAGCCAAACTCATCAATCAGCAAAAAATTTCTACATTTATTAAGATCTCTTTGATCGAATTGCAGAAACCATCAATTATGCCCATTTTTCCGTTATAATGGTTATAACAAAGCTCTTTAATCTGCAAACGATT